AAAGAACTGAGAATAGGTCCTTATTACATGTACATCGTGCGATCGCGATTTATAGCAAATGTTAGTTTATTTTTGAAAGTTGAACGATACGGTTTATTATACAGCAGGTTGAAGGTTATTACAGACTGCAAAACATCAGCAAATATCTCGATCGAGTTTGAATTTCCTTGCCAATGTATTAAGAAACACCATTTATTAAGTTAAGAAATAGGCCTACCTGAAAAACGCTTTTATAAAAACACCGAATGCATCTGTAAGTTTGACACTTTTTGTAACGATCTTATGGAAACAATAGGATTACCTCCACAATGTAACGTTTGTTTTTCTTCTCTTTTCTTCTCTGTCTAATAAACAGATTATAAAAGCTCTGCTCCCAGGGATAAATTCTCTACTCCGTCTTTAATAATTTATAACAAACGATCATAAGGGATCACTTACTTTTAGTTTTGAAAAAATTTAATGGGGCACTTATAGTAGTAAAATTAATTTTTAAAAAAAAATGGAGAAATATATATTAATTTTAATCAGCATTGTGATCCTCTTCTAAAAATCAAAAGATATACAGAAGAATGAGGTATGGAAAATTTTGGCAATTAGCAAAAATTTAAAATATATTCTTAATGATTATTTATAAGTTTTGAAAATTTGATCAGTTCCTAGGGAACGTATTATTAGCTGTGAAAATACTTTTAAAATTTGAATTTGTCCAATTTGTCGATTATTGTTTTTAGCGGGTGTTAAGAGGCACATTGATGGAACGAAATCAGTGTATATTGTTTAACCGACATATTGAAGAAAGTGACACTGGTAACTTCTTAAGTTACACTGATTTTTAGTGTACATTTGAATTTTTAAATACTAGTATTGATTGATCAGACAACTTTCCTTTTCACGTTTTATTTGAGAACAATATTTCATGAAGAGTATATGGCAAATATACATTATATGTACTTATCTAGACATATTGTGCAAGACTTCTTTTGAATGATTCTCATATACCATTTACTTTATTCGAACATTTACTTGTTTGAAAAGTCAGTAAAGTACATTTCATAAAGTTTGATAATCTTGTTTATTCGCCAGTCTTCCTGTAGAAGTAGTAGTTTATAATATTACTAAACGGAAGTATTCAGTATCTGTATCAAAATTCAGAATGATCAATGATCGATTTAAGAAGAAAAGCTGACTCCTGAAAATTCAAGAGATGGGATCCGTTGCCCAGAAGAAGTAAGCATCCCTCGTTGACAGGTTAATTATATAGCCGCGATGAGCCTACACAACTGAAGCTCTCTGATATCAATTCATTTACAAAGTCTCTGCTCAGTCATCCTTTTTTCTCTGACGAGCCAGCTGTAGATCTACAATACTCCAAATCCATTAATCTAAAGAATTTAACTTGTCATTTTTTTAGTTGTTTGCTAAATTCATCTTCGCTAGTCATGGGTTTCCGATCCGATACCTACACTACAACCCTTGGCAGATTTAGTCCTATCAAACGGGAACTTTAATTGAGCCGCCTATCCCCGTTATTGAGTTAAGTCCCTTGAAACTATATAAAATTTGTCCAATGAAAATAGCTGTAACATATGTAAATCAATATGACGTTTGAAACAATATGGCGACCTCCATGCAGCCTGATGTAAAATATATCCTAACAACCTCATACAGCTGTGGGCAGCGAGAACACCTCAAACGTGATAGAAGATATCGTTCTTTGTGGATTTTTTGTGAAGAGTTTGACTTTTTTTCTACATGTTGCCGTATCAATTATTATCAATGAGTCGTAACATTTGATTGGCTTAAATTGATGCACCTAAAATGCGGAACACGGACTGATGTGGTCCTTTCAATAATTCTTGAAAACATATATAATCAAAAGAAAAATATTTCAAATTAATTACTCCCTTGTTTTTCAGCATAGATTACATCCTAGCTTTCATCCCGTGTAAATATTACTCTTCTTTTGCATAAAACACGAACAGACTTTAATTCAGCCGAAAATCGTAGATTAATAAAATCCTTGCGAAGACTCGGACTTCGCAGCCAATCAAATTCGTTTGCACGAGTTCTAAAACTTTCAGCTAAATCTGCCAAGGGTTGTGGAGTAGGTATCAGATCGGAAACCCTTGGCTAGAGAAGTTTGCTATAATAGGCTTTACATTTACCTAATATCAGATTCAATAGAGCATAAAAGACAATTTAATTTTCAACATCAACATAACTGTTTTCATCTAGAGAACAATTGGATGCCATCAAGAGAGAACTTTTAAAAATGCACTTCCTGTCTTTCAAACTGAAGAAATCTTATGTCAAATTTTGAAACATGCATTTCAATCTAATTAAAATTTATTTATATGTTCCAAATCCGCTTCCGCTTCTGACACATCTAACATCCCATTCGGGGTCACATCAGAGCAACCTTTCTATTATGAATACATGTACAAGTAAACACAAAAACTTTGGCCATGTAAATTCAAGCCGCAGTAAACAATTCTCAAATTAATTCCATTGATTAATTGATACTGTCTTACGTTGAATTAAAGTGATTTTGGAATAAATTTCATGTATATTCTGCAGTCTGGCATCTTAACGTGGATAATGCAAACGAAAGAGCACAAACTGTACAAGATACCCCACACGTCATACATAACACAGCTTTTGCAATGCATATTTTTTTTTACTACAAAACTCCTCGGGTGTTTTGGTTCGGTGGTGAAAACAAGAAACCCATCTGAACTATAAGCCAGGATTTCGGAAGAACCATTTTCTTTGGCTAATCGAAGATGCACTCTTACATGACCCCAAATAGGATGTTGTTAGATGTTTGAGAAGCAGTAGTGAATTCGGTACATCTAATTAAAATTAGATTACATCCATCTGTGACATCAGTTTGGAATGTTATTGGTTTTACTATTAAGTAAAGTATTACAAAGCAGAATGTCTGGGGGTTTTTTCTCTGATGACATTGGACAAAGATATGCATACTTAAATATCATCATTTTATGCACTTTTTCGATGCATATTAGATGAAAGCATGCTAACCGCTTTTCAGTACTTTCAGTACTTTGATTTGTGAAACAATAGCCTGGGAGGGAATGGAAAATCTCACTTTAATTAGATTGTATATTATGTGTAGGTTTTTTTATTTATTTATTTTTTCAAATATCTTGCTTTCGTGATGTTAATTAATGCAATATTACTGAAAACGCGGTACCTATACTTCTTAGTAATATGGTCAATTATATTCGTATTGAGATGTATAATGTGCTAAATTTGTGATATAGAAAACACTTTTTTAAATATATAAAAGTAGTATGTAAGTTGATCAAATTTTCAATCCTTTTCTTTGAACCCCACTCGCGGGCACCTGTCCTCACGTGCCACAGGTGGGGAGACACGTGTCGCGAAGACACCTGCTACCGTGTTGGTGTATATTTTGTATATTCTATGTGGATTGAGAGGTTTTTCTACCTTAGAGGAACAATGGGCTGTGACCAGGCGTAATATATACATGCAGTACATGGTATACACAGTATAGTCACTAGTAATGACCCAAAGGTGTCTGAATTCAAATTTTAAAAATTAAAAAAAAAAAAACCCCACACACTCTATATATAAAAAACTTCACCTAAAATCAAACAAATAAGATTGTTTCATTAAAATATTCTATATAAAATGTTTCATATAAGCTGTTAAGTTTATTATGTGTTGGTGATTACAGTAAAAGAAAAAAAAAGGAAAAACCTCTCAGATATTTATCTATTATAGATCAATCTAATAAATAATAAAACTAATCTACAGGTAAGGAGAATATTTGCTAGTTCAATAGACTATTTAAAAAAATTCAGTATTATTTTACAATTTCTCTACAAAGAAATCGTCAATCACAAAAAAATCGACAATTAATGGCATTCCTTGTTTGCCCCCATTGCATGTAAACTTCAAATATTGAAAATATTTAGAGATATACGCAACCTAATGAAAACAAAGTCTATGAATTTTATTTCATAACTTTTTTCTGTAGGTTATTTCTAAGTACACAATAAAACAACGTTTAATTTCTAATTTAGAGTCCAAAACAGAAAAGTGTGAGGTTATTACAATAATAAGGAAAAGATAAAAAAAAGAAGATAAATACATTTAGTAAACAACAATATACATGACATGTGTAAAGGACTATGACTACTATTACATATGATATCATTTATAAATTTGCTCTTCTGTATTGAGTAATAACTAATAATTTTTTGTTCATCATCTTATGCCGAGAAGCTATTTACTATTAATGGAATTTTTTTTCTTTGATGATCATCTTTTTTACATGACCGTGTTATAAAAAATGAATTTTGATTATCATTTATACTGTTGGAATTACATCTACATAATCGATCTTCTTAGTTAACATATAGACTTATAATTAATTGTACATGTAGATATTTTCTGAGATGGAAATGTTTAACAATTGATTAATAATTCTTATAACCCCAATTTTGCTTTTGAGTTTCACAATGGTATAAAAAGCAATACCAGAGAGAGAGAGAGAGACAGAGACACACAGAGAGAGAGAGAGACAGAGACTCATACAGCACATTCAAATATAGTTTGTAATTTTTTTCTTCGTTTTATTTAAGTTACGAAGGTCAAAATAAATCATAATATAATTCACTATATAACAATGATTATAAACTTACATGTACATGTACGTTGTTAATTATCTATTCTATTTTAGGACACAAATAAAAATGTATCCCATAGATTAAGATTTAAAAAAAAAAACATAAACATAAATTTGCAGACTTGTGATAAAATTTTAACCAGCTAATTCGTATCGCTTACGAGAAGGGGGGGGGATCGCTCTTGTTTGTGGATAATATGCCATCAGCATAACTTTGTTAACTTGTATACTTTTTTACACAATAATCTAAGTACATGTGTATATAATTTCCAATCTATTTGTAAAAAACTGTTCATTCTGTTGTAATAAATGCAAGGACGTCTGCAATTAAAACGTAAAAAAATATTGCCAAAAGAGAAATGCAAAAACTAAGGTGAACTGGCATTCAATCACTAGGTGGCGTATCGCGATAGAATGCTTCTCTCTCATTGGTTAGATTTTTAGTAGAAGAAAGAGGGACAAAATGGCGAAGAAAACACCAAGAACTTGCTCAAGAAAATCAACAGAGATGAGAAGATCTTTTGACTCTACACAGAAGAAAGGCACCACAAACGACAGATTAGATACAGGTAGTTATTTCTTACACTTCATAGCACCTTTATTTTTGTTTTTATTGACTGCAATCGTAAGTATAAAGTTTGGTTAAAACGGCGCGTTCCAAAAATTCAAATTGACCATAGTACAGTTATAATTATTTTGAAAAAGCGCCTTGTAAATCATTCTCAGCATAGGTTGTGATACGTATAATTAATTGTGGTTAAAACGGCCGCATGGAATTTTAAATGTAGGTTGGTTTTAGAGGATAATATCGTTATGAACTTGTATCCGGTGTTTACTTTTTCGGAAAATCGAAAGATTTGCACCCAGGCTTATGTTCTTTCAGAAAAGGTGAGTTTTGTTGTTCATTATAACTGCTGGATGTGTTCATTGTTATTCGCAGGAGTAGTTTCTTTAATCCTACATTTATTTTTTGCTGAAAAAGAATTGTATTTATTATAATATTGATGGAAGACTGTGCTGCACAGCCGAGGAAGGGGTTGAATATATTTTTAACATACATGCAGTCTAGAATCGTAAATATTAGACATGTTAGAAGGCATCATGTTGGGAGAATGCCATTGTGTAGTATTGTATCACTGGGAAATGCCAATTTGTACATGTTGTATAGTCATGAAAGTAAAATTCCTGAGAACTTGCAGATTTGGGGATAGTGAGATAGATTTTGGGAATTAAGTGAATTGATAATTTTCAGAATGCCTCACATTATTCAAGTTGAAGTATTTTATTAAGTTTCATACCATACATTATGATTTTGAAACATTGTCGTACGTGAACAAAATAGTTATACACAAAGATACATAAACATCTTTTCTTAAAAGGCATAATTATGATTAATTAAACGTAAAATGTTAAAATGATATTTATTTTTTTAAATTAAGAGATCAATTGTAATTTCATGCTGACACATGTGCATGTTTTGGTCTATATGAAACAATTAACACTATTTTAGCAACCTAAAACTTGATTTACCGGTAGTGTGCATGGTGTAATTGTTCATTAGAAATACCATGTTTTTATTGTACCTTGTGTATTAAATGTGGTGCAGTTTCTAAATACCTCAGAAATCACAACCATAAAAATGATTCTCTTGATCAGATATGAACAAAACAGTATTTACCTGAAGTTGGTATTATGATCTAGACTGGAGCTTGATGAAATGGGCAATTGGCCATTTTCAATTTCTTAAGTTACATGTATTGATTCATTATACAGTCATATACTTGTATTTATTTGTTACCCTTTAGAGAACTTTTTATTAATGTGGACACGTCACCAACACAGTCTCATCCGAGGGACTAGTCTCTATGTTCTACATTGGATTCAGACCCGTGATGTAGGAATCAGCTCTTACTCCCCAACTCTAGGCGTGTCGCGCTAACCACTGGCAATGTGACCCATTATGAAAATTTGACATAATACTTTAAATTCATGATCTCTAAATTTTATTGACTTGATAAAATGACTGATACACAAATAAGACTTTTGTAATCTCTCTGTTTATAGCTGTTTACCATTTGCCATATTTCTATCACTAATTAAATCAGTTTTCAACAATAGCCACTAAAGAGACCTAGTTATGTCTTATTATACAGATGATTTTCCCTTGATGTAAAATAGAATATGAAATAAAATAAATTATCAAATAAATTATAATTTTGAATCGGAGATGATGGGGAGGCCAGGGCCTACATATCTTAAACAAAAAGAATTTAGATGTAGTCTTGTTTTTATGGAAAATTATAACTTATTTAATTTTTCTACTCTCAGATATAATTGCATTGCAAGATCTTGTAAAGGTTGTGATAGCCTGAAAGGACTGCCACTTAGAATTAGACCAGAGTGTGACTGTGATAATTTCCAATCATTTTTTCATTGTCATGTGTCCATTAGAATTTTCACTGCAAGTCAGGTGCAAGGAAATGGACATGCAAGTGGTTTTTGGGACTTTTCTGAGCTCATGCTAAAAACAAAAAAGTTATTACTGTACGGTACTGTACTAACTCCATCTATTTTAATTTCAGATATCCATGGAACAAATCATCTGAAAAAAAAGAGAAGATGAAGAATACTTCTGTTAAAAAGTATGTTTTAGAAGTAAGAATTTGAGTAACTTGAGTAATTAAGGACTAAAGCACAAAGTTTATGTTTTTATTTTCTATTGTTTTCTTAATCTCACTGTATAATTTAAAGCTCTCTATTTATCATAGTCAGTGGTTGTCAGTGTGTGGGTTGTGGGGGAGGGGGGTGTAAGCTGCTTTCCTCTACTTTTTAAGCTTTATATAATATCTAATTCTTTATATGTTCGGCATTTCCATCAAATTAACGGATGTTAACATTTTCTTAGAAAGTCTCATTTTGCGTGCTACCTACTAAAATTCTATGATTTATTTAAAATAAGTATTTATAAATAGGCCAATTTTTAGGTCACCTTAGTAAACTCAGGTGACCTATTACTATCTGTTTTGTCTGTTGTGTGTTAACATTTGAACATTTTCAGCTTCTTCCTTGCAACCGCTCAACCAATTTCAACCAATATTGGTACAAAGCATCTAAGGGTGAAGGGGAACAAAATTTGTAAATTTTATGATACCCCCCTTCTTTTTTACTCCTGGACATCAAGCAGTCAAACTGTTGGCATGATTGTAATGAGCACTGAGTCATCCACCATAATTATGAAATTCATGGCCCCAAGGTCAGGGGTTCTAGTACTAGGATTGGTCCATATAGCTCTTTGGAATTAATCAACCATTTATGATGTAATAAAACTTAAGATAACATTTAGAAAATGTTGAAATGTGTGGCCCCAGGGTTAGTGGTTCCTGTGGGGTGGGGTACACAACTGGTGGTTTCAAAATGGAATTGCATTTTATCTTTATTACTCTGATCCACCTTTGGGTATTGAGTAACCAAAGTAAGCATGCTAAGTGTATAATTATGATAAAGAATGGTGCGTCTTTCAAAATTTGGAATTTCATGGCTTTTTGTTTAAAACACAAACCAAATTCAATGGAGTAAAAGTTGTTACATGATACCTTTTAGGTCTGTGGGCCTCTAGTTGTTATTCAAATAAAAAAATATTTTGATGAACAAGTAGAATGAAAGAAAATTCCTTAACTTATTCTGAAAATCAGGAACAAATCTACACATACATATTCAATAAATTCAAGTTTGTCCTAGTCAAGTGTTTAAAAGAGGCAACTTTAAGGACAGACGAGACGTTCCTTAATAATAGATAAATTTTTCTAGGAGTTTGTCATTGAAGTATTGCTACTTAAACATGTTTACTCACAAAAAAATTGAGGTACCTTACCAGGCATTTCTGCAAAATACCAGGGGTAGTTTTTCTTATATAATCCTTTGGGGAAGAAAAATAATTTTCCAGTTTCAAATCTTTAAGGGTTTGAATTTTTTTAAAGACGTTTAGAAACTGGTTTAGAAATAAGAATGTTATTAGAATTTTGAATATTTTTCATACATTACGAAGATATACAAAACAGATTTTGAGGAACGTCTCCTTTGACCTTAATAAACTAATGATATTTTACACTTGATAAATTTTTAGATTTCATTTTAAATCATTCTGATAAAAAAAATTGCTTAAAATGTGAAATTAATCAAACAAAGGCTTGTACTAGAACAGCATTAGGGACTTTGTCAATCCAATTAATATTAAATGTTAGATACTGCCTAAATCTAACAACATCCTGTAGAGTGTCACGTCAGAGGTCAAATTCTATTAACCAATCAAATAGTCAACTGCAAAGTTATTATTGTTTTTCATATATTGAAATGAATAAGTCTAGAGTTGTTCCGTATTTGACATCTGACGTGACCTTCTATGGGATGTTGTTAGATGTTGTGTAGCGAGTATGCAAGAGGATCTAACATGTTGTTTTATTTAGATTGGGATTTTGTTAAACTATATTTATATATATTTTCAATAGGTTGATGTAACTGATGAGCAGATCAATCCAACTTGAACATGATATCATTTCTCCAATGATGAAAACAAGTCTCTCTATACTCAAGCATTGATATTTTTAAAGTCGACTGAAACTGAAACAGGTCATACATGCAGACTACATTGATGTGTTGCACAGTTCCGAAAACATGCAGCCACCACTAGCATAAGCATGATAAGTGTAAGTGGGTCATCAAAAAATGAGAACCACTCATTAAGGACTTTTCTGTTGGTTGATGATGGACTACAAACTGACTTTTTAACAAAGGAATCCACCTTGGTGCTTATTGGCTACTTATGATGTGAACTTGTGCATTTATTATACCAAGTAATTTTACATTTCCTTGATAATACTAGACTTGCATAAACCGAATTTAGATTTAGTTGATTTATTGCAGTAATGCAGTTCAAAGTTCCTCTCGCAAGATTATATCTCTGATGTATGAGACATCATTAATTGCAGTCATTTTCTCTGTCCTCCTGTCGTGACTTGAGGGCTTGGACTTAGCTGTAAAAATGTTTATGATGCAAGAGAAAATAAATGTTCTACCCGATGTATGTAAATGTTGATAATAACATTAAATATTCTTTGATAACTAGTGTTAGTGTGTTGTTGTTTTTTCCAATATGAGAATTCAGGGGGAAAATGACTTTTGGTTGAAAACCAGGGCTAAATTGTGTAGTCAATACTACAGTTTCTGTTGCGGAAACCTATAGTATACCCTATGTATATCAATATTGTAAACGCATACTGAAACCTTGCGTATACCTCAAGTTTCAGCAAGTTTCTGTTGCGGAAACTATTGGTAAACCATATGTATTTCAACCGTATACGCATACTGAAACCTTGCGTATACCTCAAGTTTCAGTTGCGGAAACCTATGGTACACCATATGTATTTCAACAGTATACGCATGCTGAAACCTTGCGTATACCTCAAGTTTCAGCAAGTTTCAGTTGCGGAAACTATTTGGATTCGTGGACACCTTTGGTTTCCGCACTGCGGAAACTTGATGAAACTTGAAGTTTCCGCACTGAAACTTTGCAGAAACTATTAATAACCTTAAGTTTCCGCAGAGTTTCAGTAGAGTTTCAGCCATGCGGAAACTGTATTTTTCATCCAGTGAAACTTTGTTTGGAAAATGAATTTTTATTAATTGTACCTAGAATGAGGGTAGTTGTATCCATCTCAGTGGGAATGCTCGATGCGTGGACGGAGTCTGTAACAGACATCTCAGTGGGAATGCTCGATGTGTCGATTGGGTCTGTAACAGACATATCAGTGGGAATGCTCGATGCGTCGACGGGGTCTGTAACAGACATCTCAGTGGGAATGCTCGAAGTGTTGACTGGGTCTGTAACAGACATCTCAGTGGGAATGCTCGATGCGTCGACGGGGTCTGTAACAGACATCTCAGTGGGAATGCTCGATGTGTGGACGGAGTCTGTAACAGACATCTCAGTGGGAATGCTCGATGTGCCGACGGAGTCTGTAACAGACCTCTCAGTGGGAATGCTCGATGTGCCGACGGAGTCTGTAACAGACCTCTCAGTGGGAATGCTCGAAGCGTCGACTGGGTCTGTAACAGACATCTCAATGGGAATGCTCGATGTGTCGACGGAGTCAGTCGAGATGATAGAAGAATCTGTAAAAGTATTAATAAATAAAAACATGTGTCTTGTAACCTGCAGTTATTTCAATAGTTAAAGCAACTCTCTTGAGCAAAATGCTTTCCAAACTTGATCTACGTTTTATTAGCTTGTCATGAATTAGTGGAAGGCAACGAATCAATAATCACTGACGTCTCTCATATTTATATTGTAAAAGTTAACATTTTTTTTATTCATTTACTTCACTAAGAGAAAACAGCATTTCCTATACAAACAATGATTAATTTAAATAAAAATCAAACTTACCCAAACAAAATGAAAATGTAGACCCAGTTCTATCCCCAATCACTTTGGTGTTTGGCCAGATAATCACCTGCATCGGACGTTGTGGAAATTCAATTTCCATAGCTTGCGCGTTTAATAAACAGAACGAAATACAGTCACAATATGTGTCTACACAGGTATATCCCCTTGCAGTTTGACTACAGCATATGTTGTAATTTACACAGGAACCAAATCCCGTTGGTAATATAATTAAGCCTACTAACACGACTCCAAACCACACCATGATTAGGGCCATGCTAGCTTCTCTTAAATACTTTTCGGAAGTTATCGGGCGATGACCCTAACACTGTCTAAAAAGGATGGTCACATGTTAAGATTTGGGGTTACATTTCAATTATGAAGATCAATGACCTCATGATGTAGGGTAGCTTCGGGTGTCATCGTACATCAACTATTCTTATATTTAGATCCGCATTGATACTATTGATTATCACATGAAAAATCGTCATAAATTTAAAAAAAATTAAAAAGGAGGGGGTAGGGGTAACGATGCAGCATCAAGATTTTTGTATTCCCTAATATGGATTGTGTTTTAATCGTAAATGATCGGTTATTAAACTTTGATAGATCGGTACTATTGTTGCACACCACCTGTTCGTTCATGATCCACACACATGTATTCAAAATCTTATTCGAGTTATAACTTTAAAAAAAAAGCAAAAACAATAACAAACAAGAAACATTGAGGCAAGCGTCAAAAATCGGCCGCAAACCAATTAATTAATTCTTTCATAATACAATTAGAAACTAAATTCTTATATATTTATCTGTTAATATATATCCCTATGACATTAAACATTTGAATGCGACATTCCAGGGTTTTCTTCACTCAGTACATAATACCTGTACATTGCTACATGTACAATGTATTTAAGCAACTTACTCATAGTCCTCTGCGTCCCCGCACTCAGATTCATTTGTACAAACGAACTATGGCGGAAGTTTGATGTTTAAGTAGTTTTAACGCTTAACCATCAAAACTAACATTTAAACTTATCTAACTAGAGATAGTTTAACTTTAAATAAAACGTAACAACTATGTGGGGCTCCTCGCTCGCTCAGAGGATGTTGAAACCCCCAAATTCCCTCTAGATCCGCCACTACATTTTTTCTCTATCTTGTTTTGGTGTGAGATGTGGCGGGAAAAGGCTTGGCATATTGTAAAACGCGATTTGTCCTTGTCTGTTGGGATAAATCTCCTAATATTCTGTCTGATAATAAACTAAGATTAAGTCATATTTTTGAAAACTTTCCATATTAAAAGTACATTGTATATTTATATTTACACGTCATTTTAAATTATACATACAACAAATCCTGTTGAAGTAGAGAAAGTAAATTTGTTTATACATGTACATAACGCGGTCCTTGCTTTAGACTATGCCCAACATGTGTGCTTATTTCTCCGCACTTCAGTTACGTCGGAGGTTGTCAATCAGGATTGGATGAAACATTTAACCCATTATTTATAAAATTTTAATTTTATGATTATTGTGCGTTTTTGTTTAACATTTAAAAAATCTTTCTTAATATTCTATTACATGAATGTTAAATATTTTTTATTCAAATTGTTCTAACTCCGCAGAAACGCACGGCGACTTAAAACTTTCATATCATATAACCGACCGCCTCCTGGCGGCCGGTAAAAAAACTGACCAACATCGTTGGCGCTCTTTCTGTATCAACATTAATGGTAGAAATAACGAACAGTTACCAATCTCATAGATCATAAATCTTATATGAGGAAAAGACATCTGTTCTTTTTTTAAAAAGTGTTATTTTAACTTTTATTTAAAAAATTATAGACTTCATAACTACAGGTATGTGTGCTATGTCTTTTATCTTCTATATAAGAGGATATTTCTTTCGAATGTTTTAACATTAATGTCTTTCGTCTATATTTCTCCAAAAAGCGCGTTTTTTTCTATTATTATCAAAGTACACAATATACTCATAAAATTTACATAAATATTGTGTAAAATGAACATTATAAAAATATGTCAATCAATGACATACATCTTTAAAAAGTGTATGTATGATTCACAACCTATATTTCTTAATTAAGTGACCGATATTTATACCCCCGTAAACGAAGTTTCGGGGGCATATAGTTTTTGTCGTGTCCGTCTGTCTGTCTCTCTGTTTGTCTGCAAAAACTTTAACATTGCCTATAACTTTTGATTTAGTGGAGCTATGACATTCATATATCACATGTGTATTCCTTGTGACAAAACCTTTCTTTGGGTACCACCAAATTTGACATTTTGACCTTGACCTTGGAGTTTGACCCACTTTAACACCAAAATTTTGAACTTTTACTTTGGTCATATCTTTTGAACAATAGATACCAGGACATTTATATTTCACATATATATTCTTTGTGGAAAGACCTTTCATTGGATACCAACATCCTTAACCTTTTGACCTTGACCTTGGAGATTTCCGTACCTATGAAAAAACTTTAACCTTGGCTATAACTTTTAAATAATAAGTACTACGGCTTTCATACTTCACATATATAATTCTGATAAAAAGATCTTTTATTGGATACCAAGAACCTTGACCCTTTGACCTTGACCTTGGAGTTTGACCTACTTTAAAAATACAACATTGACCATAATTTTTGAAGGCTTTGGGCTAGGGCATTCATACTTCGCAAATTTAATTCTTGTGGCAAGACCTTTCATTTGATATCAAGAACTTTGATCCTTTGACCTTGGAGTTTGACTTACTTTTTACAAACATTAACCTTGACGATAACTTTTGAACAGTAAGGGCTAGAGCTTTCATATTTCACATGAGTAATCCTTGTGACAAGACTTTTCATGGGATATCAAAAAACTTGACCCTTTGACTTTGACCTTGGGGTTTGACTTACTTTTTACAAACTTTGACCTTGACCATAACTTTTGATCAGTAAGGGCTAGAGCTTTCATATTTCAGATGTGTAATCCTTTTGACAAGACCTTTCATTGGATATCAAGAATCTTGACCCTTTGACCTTAACCTTGGAGTTTGACTTACTTTTTACAAACTTTTACCTTGACCATAACTTTTGAACAGTAGAGGCCAGCGCTTTCATACTTCCCATACGTTATCTTTGAGACAAAGTCTTTCTTTAGCACCCAGCAACCTTGACCCTTTGACCTTGAAACGGAGTTTGTCCTGTATTATAAAATGTTAACCTTTGTCATAACCCTGGAACAGGTGTACCTAGCGTTTTATATTTCGCATTTCTTGTGAAAAGGCCTTACTTTGGTACCAACATATTTGATCTGCATTTGAGAAAGCTTAACCTTCGCTATGTTGCCAAACGGGGGCATCAGTGTTTCACAAACACATCTTGTTTAGATTTTGTAACCGATATTTTATTAAAGATGGAGCCATACAATATGAAAAGATTTCTTATTGGTTAGTATATTTTTGCGAGTTAGTCCAATAAAAAACAAATTCCTGATTTTGGAGGGAAATTTAACAATGTTTAAGCAAAGCTACACATCTCTATCTCTGTCAACTTTATATCCCCCAATCATAATTTAAAGAAAAAAATGGGGGAGGGGGGAGGGTTTTTGGCATAAAATATAAATTAGCAAATTATTTCCAAAGTTCCTTCCCTACCGCTTTTATTGCCTTCCCCCTACCGCTTTTTTTATCGGCTATTAAAAACTCAAAAGAAAGGATGGAATTCACGTTAAGATAAATTGAAAAAAATTATAATAAAATCACATATTTTAAAAAAAAAATTAACTCAAAATTATAATTCAAACTATTTAAAATTATAATCTGTTTATTCTCTTTTTTCTCAGGACCATGAATGACCTACAGAATGATGATGAAATTAAAGTTGCATTAATTATAAGGTATGTAATAAACTGAAGGATATTTATTTTGATAACTTATTTTTCTTCTGATACAAGTGTGAAAAATTATCAAAAAAAAGTTGTAAGCAGACTTCAATTTTAACAACTCAATTCATTTACAAAATCTTATTATCAGTAATTTCCTATAATTGTAGTAAACAAAAAAAGATTCCAAAAGAAACTGAAGAAGACAGAAAAGAGGAAAAAGAAGAAGAAGAAGTGGAAGACAACGGAGAGGAGAGAGAGTACGAAGAGAAGGAAGACGTCAGAGAGGAAGATGAAGTCAGAGAGGAAGAAGAAAACAGAGAGAATGCAATAAATAGAGAGGAGGAAAAAGATAAAGAGGAGGAGGAAGTCAGAGAGGAAGAACTTATGGAAATTGATGAAGATGAAGACAAAAAAATAATTAAATTAATTTAATACTCAACTCCCATCAGTACTTTCAGTACTTTGCTTTTTTAAATCGCTCTCGACAAGACTTGATGCATTTTCCCAAGCTTTTTCAGTACATGCTTAATGCATTAGGTACATTATTATCTACTAACTCCTTGCTCATATTTGCATACAAATGATTAACAATGATAAAAAAGTTTTTCCCACTCCATTGTACTTGTCTGTTTGTTTAGAGTTTCCCCGTGCTGTACTGCTAGTGAAAAGACAATTGCACGTGATTATTCCTCAGTACAAAAAAGCAACCAACTCTGTGGTGTGCTTATGTATTACAATCCCTAACTGGCAAATTTGTAGTAAAAACATGGTAGACCATCATGCTTTTCGATTCATTCACGAGATTGGACCATTGTTGTGAGACCACGTGATCATAAGTATTTCAATAAGAGGTGATATATTATCCGACTCAGAGAGAATTTTTTTTTACCAAATAACATTTTAAAAGGGATTGAGTGGAATTGTCTTATTTGCAGAGAGTATATAACTTCATGAGACACCACATATATTTATTTCTTTTAAAATAAAACACTAATACGGCATACATATCTTTAAGTGTTTTACTTATTGATCATATAACACTGTGCCGGATAATTATGCCACTTCAAAAGTGGCATTTTGGCGCCCGCCAAATATTCAATTTTCAGCAAAATCAAAGATGTCATCTGAAAGACCTTGATGTGTAGACTTCATATCTACCTTTTGTTATTGTGTATCTCACCTGTCAGGTGAGATACTCACCTTTAATTAAAAAAATCCCTTAGGAGAAAAAAATATCCTGTAGGAATGTAAGAATTCCCAAGGGATTTACATGAAATCCTGCAGGATTTTGAAAAATCCTATTGGAAATTTGTCAAATCCTACAGGAATTAGTTTTCCTATGGGAGATTAAATTTTCCTAAAGGAAATATATTTCCTATAGGAGCTCAAAATTTTCCTGCAGGAAAATAAAATCCTACAGGAGAAAATAATTCTCCTAAGGGATTTTATTTTTCCCTTAGGAAATAAATATCCCATAGGAAAAATATTCCTATAGGAAATTTTCATAAATTCCTATAGGATAAACTCTTCATTCATTTTTAACTTATTATTATAATTTTGCAATTTCATATTGAGTACTACTAGGTAATAATTTTGAAAAAATTAGTACCAGGGCTTTCATATGTCATAGTTGTATTTCTGTGAAAATTTGAGAACTTTTTTAAATGCCAAGAGTTTTAAC